TCATTTGACCTTCCTAACAGTCTCTGTGGTAGGTATCATAGGCATTATTATCCTAACTTTATAGCAAGGCAGTGTGCATTAAGAGTTGACCTTGGACTGAAGTCTTGTCTCTGAGCATTCTTGCTGGGTGACCCTGAGTGAGTCACTTAACCCTCATTGCTTCTAGGCAGCTCTGGAAGGCTATACATTTTAAACATGATTCTGGTCTGTATTCATGGAGAGAGTTTTTATATCAGGAGTTCCTTACATCGATACTGTCACAAGTCATGCCTAAAAAAAAAAAATCTTAGAGCTGAGAGCCAGGAAGGTTTCTGTGATTTGCTCATGGTTACATAGCTGGTGTCAGAGGTGGGATTGGAAAACAGATTTCTCCTGGGACCAACAGAGCCAACGTTCCTTCCATTCTACTTTGCGATAGGGCCTCTTTCAGTTGGATAGAGGGAAGCAGCTAGTAGCTGCACAGTCAGTGCTATGTGACTCAAAGTGTTCATCCTGTAAGCCAGGATCTGGCCTTACCAGGATAAGCTCTATAGGCAGTGACTACAGATCATCTGGAAAATGAATGACTCTTACACTATATGCAGTAATATGACAGACATTTATTAAGACTGGCATGCTTAGAGAACTGTGCTGAATTCTGGCAAGTGATATGTAACACACGGTCCCTATGGACTGTGAAGTCCTGAGAAGGAAGCTTAAAGCCTAGGATAACCAGAGTGGCCAGATTCATATCATTGTGTTACCTACAAACACTGAACTCCCAGCCAGGACAGCATAAGCGGCCCCTTGTACTGTGCTTAGCACATAATAGGTGTCTAATAAATGTTTTGGGTTAAATGAATGAATCAATCAGTAAGCATTCCCTAAATAAGTATTGTAGGCCAGTAAGTAGTGGGAATACAGAGAAAAAGCAAAAATAGTTACTTCTCAAGTTTACATTTGAATGAATGAATGAATGAATGAGTGAGTGAGTGAATATGGCAAACATCTTTTACTTTGGATCTTGAACATCCCAACAACTCATCGTTGCAATAAGGAAGGTAGGGCAGAAATTCTGCTCGTCTCCTGGAATCCTGCCCTCACGGTTACTGTTTATTTCTTTCCTACCATTGGGTTTATCTTGAGGCTTTATTTCTTCCTGTCACTGCTGCTATCAGGTTTTATTGCACAGCTGTTGGTCTTTTTGACCACTTAGTTATTACATTTTGGACCAGACCTGTGATTTCAACTTCGAGGAACTCCTAGCATGGAAGAGAAACTCCCTTTGCTTCTTCTAATCACCAACTTTTCTAGAGCTGCCTCAGTCACTTACAGGTTGGGTGACTTGCCCTGTTCAGATACCGAGATGTTGCCTGACCTTGGGTCTTTCCTGACTCCAAAGCTGGCCCTCTAGCCATTAAGCCACCATGCTTCTTATGACTAAGTGTTGTCATAACTGTCACCATTGCTTCATATTCCTACAGTACTTGGTTTACAAAAAGTTTTTCTCATGTGAAGCATGTAATTCAGTTATTGTTATCCCCATTTTGGAGATAGGGAAACTAAGTCTTAGAGATATCATGTGTCTTAACCAAGGTCAAAGAAATAGTAAGTAGTAGATCAAGGCCCATCAGGGTAAGAAAAAGTACCTAGTTGGCCTTGGTGAATTCAGATCTCCTGACATCCGCCTTGGGGAAAGAAGCAGTGCATACGATTGGTTGAGTCACTTCAGTAATTGTCAAAAGGTGGTGGGAAATGGGAGAGGTACTCAAGACTGATGAAAAACAAAGGTCTCTGGTTAAAAAACAACAAGAAGAGAGAATAGAGGCTGCAAACTGTGGTCCAGTGAGCTTGACTTTGATTGCTAGAAAAATTCTAGGTCAGATCATTAAAGAGATGGTCAGTGATCAGCCAGAAACGGAAGTCATGACCTATGGCTCACATTGACAAAGGGCCAGCTAGTTTTCTCCAAGAACACATCGTGTTTGACTAACTTGTTTTCTTTTTCAGTGACAAAGTTACTAAATTGGTAGATGATAGGCATTACATAGATAGGATTTACCAAGATTTGGACAAAGTGTTTGATAAATGATCTCATGGTTTTCTTGTGGAAAGGATGGTGAGGTAGACTCTAGGCTCTTTTTCAGCAATAGTAAGAGCTAGCATTTTTATATATACATACATATATACATATATATGTGTATATGTGTACATATATATACACATATACATATATGAGTATATATGTGTACATATATATACATATATACACACACAATTTATGTTATCTCGTTTGATCCTGACAGTCCTTATTGTGCCCATTTAACAGCCAGGCAAACTGAGGCAGATAGCAATTAAATGATTTTGTCCAAAGTCACATAACTAAGAAGTATCTGAGGCTGGATTTGAACTCTTCTTCCTGACTGCGGGTCCAATACTCCATCCACTGTGCCACCTGGCTGCCTCAGTTAAATGGATTTGCAGTTGGTTAACAGTTCAAATTCATTAAGGATTCAGATTAAGGATCCCAAAAGCTTGCTAGGCTAAAGCACTGGGCTGAATCAGACGAGATGCAATTCAACAGGGATAAATGTGAGGCTGTAAAGTCCTTTTGCTCTTAACATTCCATGAGTCTGGGAAGCATTCATGGATTCTATGACTCCATACAAATAACCCATGGGCTGCCCCCTGTCCCTGGCTGGTGGAGACTCACCTCCCTCTCTAGCACTTGTGCCCTCAGAGTTAGGTGTTCACAGGCTTCTTTGTAAGTAAGCATTCTTCAGATCTTTCCTTTAGCGGGAGAGGGGAGAGAGGTTGGCTATGGTTTCAACTAGTTGTAGGCGTCTGGGAAAAAAGAGACTGCCATGTTTGTTTGCTGTATCCCACAACACTGAGGAAGATGACTCAATGTCCTTGTGCCTCTGGGATGACTGTGACTGATTTTATTGAGTAAAGGTCTTTAGGCTTGGGTGCATTTCCCAAGCCTCCCACTCATGAAAATTCATGTCTGGGGTGGCCTGGTCTGAAAGGCTGAGCAGTGGTTTCAGGCGAGGTCACCCCCTGGGGAGTGGGTGCCTGCCCATACACAGCTGCCCCGCCTGCATCGCATCATTTCACTAGGATGAAAATACCCTAAGCATGGGAGGGCTCAAGCCTGCCTGCTGCCTGCCTCTGTGGGTCCTCATGACGGTTTCCTGCTGAGCAGTGATACTTGTCTGGCCCTGGAACTGGGTCCAGGTGTGGGCATTTGCTCTCGCACTCCCTTTCCTTCCCCCTCTTTCCTCCCCTGTTATGAAAACGGTTGAGAAGGTTGATTACATATAAGCACTTAATCAGGTGAAAATCAGCCACTGCTTCAGGTTGCTGCTGCTATTTCAGCTGGAAGTCCTTGAGAGTAACTGACCTGAATTGAAAGGGGCACAGATCCAGGCTCCTTTCTCTATACAGCCAGCACTCTCAATCTTTTTTGTGGGTGTCCTGCACCCATTGGCAGACTGATAAAGTTCTTGGACCCCTTCTCAGCATGATGTTTTTAAATGCATAAAATATATAGGATTTCAAAGGAAATCAATTATATTGAAATAGTTATCAAAATATTTAAAAAATATTAAAAGCTCATGGACCCCAGGTTAAGCTTCCCTCCTTGGAGAATGCAGCAATCAGACTGCCTTCAATTTACCTCTCACCTTTCCCCTCTCTTTTTGTTTTCTTTTTATTGATGTTTTATGGAAGCCTTTCGCCTTTTTATTTTTTAAACATTGCCACCATTCTGGCATATCCCTGACCTCTTCCCCCAACAATTCAATTCACCTTCCTTTGTCACAAAGAAAATAGTTAACTAAAACCAAACAGTAGTCTCTGACAGCACGAGCAGCGTTTTGTACCCACAGCTGTTCTCTTCTCCAAGGAGACAAGGAAGGTTACTTAGTGCTCCACCCCCACTCCCATTTGCCCCTCTATTCTAATAAAAAAAAATCAGCTGATGGTTTGTTTGGAGAGATTTGAAGTCATTTTCTTGTCATTTACCAAAAAGGCATGATTTAACACTCCAGAATGGTTAACTTTATAATGGCATATAAAATCCAAAATCTTTTAAAGGTCAGACAGCCTTGTCTATGCTTGCTTATAGCTGAAATGAGTTGGGGTGCTGGCTGGGGAGATATTTATAACAATGGCTGGAAAAGAAGGTATGCAAGCTTGATGTTTTAAACATCGTGCTGTGTCACTAGTGGTGCTGCTTCCCCCAAGATGGCACTTAATCAGTCGTTTACTGATGTGGGTATTTGCTGGGGGGAAAAGGCACTAGGTGTCCTTGGGCTAACAAGGATGTTCAGATAGCGTGGTGCGTGGACGCTAGAGTCGTGGACGCTAGAGTCACGGACTCTTGTCAACTTTAGATGCCTTGTATATACTTTAAATAAAGTAACAGATAAAAACGATTTAGCTCCCCCCATTCCAGCCTCCACTGATGATTGTTTTTGAGGAAATCAAATAAGCCTAGGGCAGCATTGCTGAGATGAGCTTCTTTGAATGTACAAGCCTAAGATATATGTGATGGTCCCACAGGGAAGATGTTTCTGACTTAGAGTCTACTGAATGCTTTGTAACAAGCTGCTCCTACCTTCTTCCTTAAGAGGATCTGCAGTCTAAACTTGCAGGGACCATTCAGTCCAGTCCCGTTTGTTTTATAGATGAAGAGGCTGCAGGCCAGGGAGGAGATGGGACTTGGCCAGGACACACAGTCAGTAATCGTCCACAGACAGGAGACCAAGAGAATTCTAATCATTGCTTTGGGGTACAGACAGCATTGGCTACATTCCCCCTCCTTACATGACATTGTTATGCTTTTTTTTTTAAGAAGCATCCATACTTTGCAAATTCTAACCCAGCACATCATTACCAAGCTATAAACAACACCTTTACACTTTGGTAAAGCATTAAGTTGTGACTGTCCAATTAGAGCTCAAACCTCATTTATTTCAAAGTGTTGTAAACCCGGACTTTCTTTTCTCCCAAATCAGGACCCTTGGTGGTATGCCCCCATTGCCTCTTCCTGCAGCGGAAACAGCCTCATCCCAGGTCTTCTGTCCATCCGTAGTTACCTCGGCAAATTTTTATCCTGAGACCTGGATTGCTATGGATCCATCTCAGGACTTCATCCAAGTGCCTGTTTCCAAGGAGGACAAAAGCTATCGAACCATCTACAATCTCTTTCATAAGACTGTGCCTGAGATTAAATATAGAATCTTGAAAATCCTGAGAGTGCAGAACCAGTTTCTTTGGGAAAAATATAAAAGGTGAGTCAAAGCCCTGCCACTTCCTGGGGTTGGGGGGCTCAGTGTGAAACAGGAAGAGGGAGGGGTTAATTGAAGAAGAACAAATGAAGTGTCAGCAACTCAGGAAAGTCTGTTTTTTCAGTTAAGTTAGTAATTGAGGGCTGATAGCAAGCTGCAAGTTAAGAATATAATGCAAGTTGAGTGTTGAGAAGAGTCAGGAACTAAAGAAGCAAAGAAGAGTTGGAATGAGATAAATAAGGGAAGCCTTCTTGCAGAAGATGAGATTTGAGCAGGATTTAGGAGGAGGAGAGCTAGCGATTAGTAGAGAGGAAGGAGAAAAAGGATGGTCTCCCTTTTCCAGATGTGAGATAAAGATCCATAAAGAAAGAGAAAAATCTCATAAGATCTTATATTTGGAGCCAGAGCCAAACCAACCTCCTCATTTTACAGATGAGGAAACTGAGGCTCAAAAAGGTGATAGGGTCACAGAGGAACCTCTGTAGCCATCCAATCAAATGTACTCATTTTACACGTGGAAAAACTGAGGCCTGATGAGGTTTAAATGGTTAGCCTAAGATCACCTAGATAGAATGGAAGAGTCTGGATTTGAATCCAGGTCCTTTGATTTCAAATTCAACAGTCTTTACACTATACCATGCTGTCTCCCATAACCTGTGCCAGCTTAGATATGGCAATAGCCTTGATTCAGAATAAATGTTTATTAAGTGCCTACTATGTGTAAGGCACCACACTGGGAGTTAGAGTTAAGAAGACCAAAACATCACTTTAATGAAGTACGCCACAGATAGTCTAAGGCAGAGGTGTCAGCACTCAGCTAGGGGATAGGGGGAACACGCTGCCCGCAACAGTACAGTCTCAGCCAGATTAACATGTATTTGGGAAATATTAACCAAAAAAAATTGAAATACAATAAAAACAGAGATAATGTCAATATGTGGTTTTCTGAGTCTATATGCAGCCTACTGGAATCCTTATGTATAGTGTGTTGGCCCCATTTCTTTTTGGATTTGACAGCACTGCCCTAGGAAATTGTAGATTCTCCCGTGACTCAAAGATGGTCTTTCTAGTTCATTTAAGGCCAATACAGTACCTTTTGGTCAGACTATAATAGACATCTCTCAAAATCTCCGCCTTAAACCACTGGCTCCTTGTCATTCCTTACTTTTAAGTAGGTTGCTTCTTCTCTTAATTCCTCTAATGAAGTGAAGAAATATAAAAATAAAATCCTTTACCAAATCTTGCCTATTAAAAGCTGTTCTTTATTCCTTCTTCCAATTCCCTCATCCTTCTCTGCACCAGGAAAAAGGAATATATGTCTAAGAAAGCCAATGACATTAGCAGAATAATGAATGAGCGGCATCTCTTCCATGGGACATCCCAAGATGTGGTGGATGGCATCTGTAAGCACAACTTTGACCCGCGTGTGTGTGGCAAACATGCTACCATGTTCGGACAAGGCAGTTATTTTGCAAGGAAGGCGAGCTATTCCCACAGCTTCTCTAAGAGGTCCCCCAAAGGGGTCCATTTTATGTTTCTGGCAAAAGTGCTAACTGGAAGATACACAGTAGGCAACCACAATATGAGAAGACCACCTCCAGTGAATCCAGACAGCATAACCAGTGACCTGTATGACTCCTGCGTGGATAATTACTTTGAGCCTCAGATTTTTGTCATTTTTAATGATGATCAGAGCTACCCATATTTTGTTATCCAGTATGAAGAAGTCAGTAACACCGTCACCATTTGAAAATCCTTGATACTGCTAAATTATTTGAAGTAAGTCCTGTCCAGCAATTTGTAGCCAGTTTTGGGGGTGGGAGGGGAAGCAGTCAGGGAAGGGAGTGCTAAAGAGAAGCCATTGCCCAGCTTTGTTGTTTACTATTTTTCCTTTTTGCCTATTTCCTCTTTGTCTTTTTTCCTTCTCTTTCCCTTTCTTTTCCTTTCCTTTCTCTGTAATATCCCCCTGTATCTTATCCTTCCTTTTCCTTTCTTTTCTTTTGTTCTGTCTTTTCCTTTTTTGTTGCCTGTTTTTCCTCATTCCCCCCCCCCAGTGCTTTAAAAAAAATGACTGGGAATTGAGATCACTTTTAAGAAACCTCAGAAACACACATACTACAAGGCTAAAAAATAGCCAACTACAGGCTGGTGGATTATTTGCTAATTGTTCTCCATGTACTCTGGTTGGAAAGTATGGTTGGTTATATTGTCTCATTATACTTGTGTGTAGAGGGTCATGACACCAACTTAGGTGTTTTGAAAATGGAGCGCTGATCATACCAACTGAAGTATGGAAATAATGGCTCAGGCCAGAGAAGGGTTAAATAAGGGACATGATGAAGTCAAGCCTGCAGAAAAGGAAGAGGAATGTGGACCACTGACTTCAGGTCCTATGGCCTCAGCTGTTTTAGCACAGGTGAGAGGAACAAGCTAGCAGAAAATCATTAGATTGTAAGCTCCTTGAGGGCAAGAACTGTCTTTTGCATCTTTTGGTATCCCCAGCACTTAGCACAGTGCCTGGCACATAGTAGGCGCTTAATAAATGCTGATTGGTTGATTGATTGATTGATTGATTGGTGACCAGGTCCAGTAGAATTCTGTGGGTTTCTATGGGTTCTATGGAAAACCAGAATTGTCAGTACTTTGAGAAAATGTTAGTCACCAGCCAACCTCTTCCCTAGTCAGTGACATGCCATGTCATCATTGCTTTGTTAGCAATTGGCAAAAGAAATCTCCATCCCTTTCACCAACCATGAGTGGAAGAAGAAAATAGGTAATTCATTGACTCAAAGTCAGAGGTAGTATCATCATTGGCTATGGAACAGTCTCAAGCTCCTGCTCCCCCATTCTCACCTTGGACTTTTTTTGTGACTCAAAGCCTAAGCCCTACTTTGCAGAGATGTGAGCCCTGCTTGAACAAGGAAGTCCTGCAATGCTGTGTTCATATTAGACACTCCAATAATAATTGCTGATTGTGATCCATTAGTGGAAAGGGGATGATTCCAACTCCTAACTTGTGGTTGCTTTTCCAAATGCAAAGGATGCTCTGAGGCACCCAGGGTGTGACCCCAGCCTTTTCACACTACTTAAATATAGAAACACAGCCTTGTTGGGGTTCAGCTAATTAAGAGAGTGTGCAGCTGCCACAGAGAGGTGGGTACTGACTGCACGTGTACTCCACCTTAGGCAAATCTGATAGACGAAGATATAGATTGATTAAAAACAGATCAAATAGGATTGGCAAAGGGATTTGCTCTAGGAATCCTTCCAACACCAGGTTTCCCCCAGCGCATTAAAAAGCAATTCAGTTGGCACCCGGTTTTTCAGGTTATGTAAAAGCAAAGGTATTTGTGTACTGATTTCTCAGTGAATTGACCTGAATGAGCATTGGGCAAGGATTCTATATAATTGACTTTTCTGCTCCATCCAATTCAAGACATGGCTGCCCATTGCCATGAAATGACTACATGTGGCTGAAAACTTGAGAGACACTTGCACTTGCTTTGGCAAAACAGTGATTCCCAGTGTTCTTTGTTATTTTAACAGCCTTTCCTTATATGTTTGATTCTGTGACATTCTTTCATTCCTCCCCTCCCATCTCCAGAAAAATGCTTGTATATCTTTTATTTTTTTAATAAAAAGGTAAAATAAGTTTGTTGTGAAGACATTTCTCAAGATTTTCTGATTCTCCCTGAAAAAAAGTGAGGATGTTCTTTGTTGCTGCAAAACCAAGGACTTGGGATCTTGGGCATACATGCCAACAAAATCACCCAAATGCTGTGATTTGTCCCTGGCTGTCAAGCCTAAAATATATAGTAATCATTAGAATTGACTATAACTTAAAAGTTATTCAGAGGTATTCTGTTTTTCAAGTCATCTCTGTTCTAGACTTCAATACTCTGTGGAGCCATGACTTCAATTGTATGGGTGATATACATTAAAATCCCTCTCTGCTTTAGATTGTGTCATGGGTGACTGTTGCTGAAAAAATTATCACTTGGTGGTCAGCTCTGCTGATAGGGATCCTCCAGCTCTCCAAACTTCCCTAGGTCCTCAGATGACGAACAAGCTGGACCTAAAAGCCTTGCCCACTTTGTAGAGCCTACCAGAGCCTGTGCTTGGTTTATGTGACCTTCAGAAATCCAGGGTCACCCCCAGGTCAGAGTGGAAGTTTAAATTATTTATTAGTGTAGGAATAAATAGAAGTGATATGCATTCAGTCCCATAAATGCTTTCTTTTTGGTTTATTCACTCAACATAATTAAGTATAGGGCATCATGGTAGGTGACAGAGGGAGATATTGTAGATATACCCCCTCACTGTCTTCAAGGAGTTTAGATTTTGGCCTATTGAAAGAGCTATTAAATAAATATGAATATCATTGGGAGTCCTCCCCCCCTTTCATGTTTTTATTTTCAAAACAGCTTATAGTATGTAATGTAATTTTAGGCAAACTGGAACTCTGTGGAGCTGATGTTTAAATATATCTATATTTCAAAGATTGGAGACTGCATGCCATTGATCAAGCCCCTTTTCTTATCCTCAGGCACTGATGACCATTTTAGAGCATCCTAACTATGGTTAATGGTTCCATAGGAAGAAGGTTCCACGATCTTCTTTAGAAACAATGAAATGTCTTGATGTCTTGCAGGCAGGAAACATTTCCTCATGTACATATTGTATCTATTGTACATAGTAAAACTACAACAGCAATCTTGTACCTTTTGTTTATTAAACTATTTATGTTAGTAAACATTTATGTTTGAAAAATCATGTGGCCCTGAGTTCTTTATCTTTAATAATGAATTTTGAGTATATTTAAGAGATTTTAGATAACTAAAAATATTCATTCTTTGCACAGCCAGTAGTAGATTTTAAATTAGAAGTATTTTTTTTTAAGAAAAAAGTTATTTTTGTGACTTGTGCCCATCTTGCTATCAGAGAAATAGTTTTAGGTGTCCTTTCTCCAATTTTAAAATTTAAAGATTTTCATTAGTTTTTTGAAACAGTTGAATTATATATGCTTCTGATAAATCCAACAGAGTTTTGGTTACAGATCTAAAAAAACCCCCAATCTGTTGGTTCCTTTCCATGCTTCCTTCTCTATCCTGCTTTCATGGAATAAGTGATTCATAGTATCCCAATCTAGGAAAAAGAAGGATGGACTAGAGAAAGGGCTTCCAGAGATTTCCCACCCACATCTCTGTCCAGATGCAATTTAATGTACTGCCATAATGGCTTAATCAGTACCACCATATGGTCATTCTTACTCTGTTAATAAATTTTATTAAGTCTCTCAAGACACCAACTCAAGTCTCCTAGGTTGCCTTCTCAAAAAGGTGCTGATCTTTATGCTTTGATCTCAGTTATCTGAAAGTGTAGGATCTTTGAAGATTGAAAGTAAACTGGACTTTACCATACCACCATTATTGCTACTAATACCTTATTTTTTTTTTATTATTGTTGCCAGAAAAAAAATTCACACAGATTTGCCCCTTTAACCCTCCCAATAAGGTAGGGCAGTGCAGGGAGTAGAAGGAGGCTCCAGAGTGACTTGCCCAATGTCACCTAGCAAGCGTATGGTAGAGTGTGTCTAGGTCCTCAGACTCCAAGGCCAACATCTCTCCACTTTATTGCGCTATAGTTTGTTTGACAATCAGTCAGCGAACTCTTGCTGAACACCTGCTAGATGTCAGGTTAGGTCCTAGAGAAATAAAGACAAAAAAAGAAGAAATAGTTCTTGCTTTCAAAGAGCTTACATTAGAAAAAAAAGTTTTATTGACACATTACATCTTCATTTTCATTTTGGAAAATACTCTTCCACCACCACCACCCTCCTTTTAACAAAAAGTTAAGCAAAAACTCTTGATAGGATGACTGAATCCAATAAAGTATACAACATTCTGCCATAATAGATCACCACCTTTCTGCTAAGAGAAAGGAGGTATGGTTCATTATCTTTTCTCCAGGACCATTCTTGGTTTTTTAATTGTAGGAGACCTTATGTTTTTATATCATAGTCACTTCTTGAAATTAGCCCCCCGATCAAATCTTCCTCTATATAGAGCCCACCCTTGTAACAAAGAAAAACAATTAAGCAAAACCATCTGATAAATCTCAAAATGTATGCTGCATTCTGCCCTGCTAGTCTCCCACCTTTCTGTGCAGAATAGGGAGATAAGTTTTCATTTTTTCATTGTCTGTTCTCCTGCACCATTCTTGGTCTTTTCAGTAGCAAGGAGTTGACATTCTACTTGATCTTCACAGAAACGTGTGAGGTAGGTTCTTTGAATGTGATCATCATCCTCATTTTATAGATGTGGAGACTGAGCTCAGGACAGCCTAGTGTTTTGAACAGTTTTAAAGTAGCAGAGCCAGAATTAGAATCCAGTTCTCTCTACTCCAAGTGTGGCACACTCTTTCTGTTACCCCATACTGTACCTCCAGAGCACCAAGTGACAAATCCTGGGGCCAGTAAAGTATTTTCAGCCTAATGCTGTAGCTCTTTGGCACAAGCCCTATGCTAGGCTAGTGAGCTGAGCAGCATCCTGGGTACCTCTGAGCTCAACAAAGCCCTTTTTGTGGCTTCTCTTCTTTCTGACAAGCCCAGCGTGAAAGGAAATGAAGGAGCTTTGGGAGGTGGACTTTATGCATTTACAATTCCCTGCTCAGAACAGACTTGTCAAGCTGGAAGGGACCTTGGATAGATCATTTGCTTCAAAGCAGACTGAGCTTTCAGCAGATCTGGATGATGGGCTGAATAAGGTGAAGAGGATAAAAATAAGACCAATGACTTTTCTCTCATGATCTAAGATTCATACGGTGTTTTGAATACATCATCTCATTTGAGTAACACACAACCCTAGGAGGTAGGCACTGCAGAGATTATTATCCCCATTTTAGGGAAGGAAAAACTGAGTTTGAGCAACTCAACTGTAGTCACAGGGCTAGCAAGTTTCTGAGGTGGAATCTGAACCATCTTCCTTCCTCCAGGTCCCAACACTCTCTCTCCTACATGTCATGAGGCAATGCAATACACTGGAAAGGGGGCTGGTTCTGAAGCCAGAAAATCTTGATTCAAACCCCGCACTGCCACTTACTACTTGTGTTACCTTGGGCAAATTGTTGACCTTTTCTGTGCCTCAATTTCCCCACCTGTAAAATGAGAGATTTGGACCAGATAGTCTGTGGGATCTTCTAATTCTACAGCTGTGAGAATAAATTAATAATTAATCTGTATATACCACTTTGAGGTTTTCCAAGTGCTTTACAATATTATGTAATTTGAGATTTCCAAGAATACTATGAGGTGGGCACTGTAGGGAGATTATTCTCACTTTACAGATGAGAACACTGAGGCTCAGAGAGGTCAAATAGCTTGCCCATGATCACATAGTATATCTTAGAGGCAGGATTTTGAATGTAGGCCTTCCCAACTCCTGATCCAGTGCTGTCTCTGCTATGATGTGCTTTTCTGGAAAGGACTTGGACCTGTGCTGGCCTGCATATTTAGAGGTCATCCTTGAGCAGCCACCAGGAGAACTCATGCTTCGAGAGTCTACTCTGTGGTCGATGACCTGTGTGATGGGTACAACCTCTTATCACCTCATCATGTGCTTGCCAAGATGACTGTGTTAGCCCCACTACATGGCATGATCTGTGGTCAAGGAACCAGCTGAAGTTAACTGAGCCCTGGAAGGCTAGCCCTCTCAACCCTGACCTTGGCACTGTGAGCTCACTCACTGTGCTACCTGGCCCTGACCTGTGCCAACTTGGTACTCACCAATCCCTAGCACAATGCTAGGGATTTTAATCCACGTGGCTATGCCTTTTTTCTTAAGATATTAGAATCCAAGCCTATTTATAGTGGACTCATGGGCATGAATAGTAGGCACCCCATTTTATTCATATGTTGTAAATCATGATCCCTCAGTTTTTACAGTTTCTTATCTTTTTTATCAGCGGCTGATCCCTTCCCTGCTGAATGGCCAGTTTCAGAGAGCTGGGTCCTGAGTAGCTGGAATTCAGACAATATTCCTCCTGGCTCCAATGGAGGATCTACAGTTGGTGATTTGGATCAAGGGCTATAGCCCTCATCTTGCCCTCGATGAGGGCCTTGGAATGAGGATCAAATCCAGAATCCCAGAATGTCAGGGATGGGGCTTTCCACAAAGTGGTGCTTCCCAGGAGGGAGCTGCCTAAGGAGGGTACCAACAAAGGCCTAGAAAGAACCTTAGAAGCTGTCTAGTCCAACCCCTCTCAGTTTACAATGAAGGAAACTGAGGCCAAAGAGGTGGTGACTTGCCCAAGGTCTCATGTATAGTGAGCCTCAGAGTCGGAATTTGAACTCACGTCCTCTGATTTGAAAACCAAGCATATTGTTTACAGGCTCTTCTCCCACCAGCTGCTTCTCTGAAGTATATTTAGCTCCCCTAGAACTTTAGACCAGTGGTAGCTCCATTAACCCTCTGGCATATGAATGGTAATAAAGTGCTGTGCACACACACTTGAAGATGTCCTTACTCTGGCACAAAGTCTGATCTTTAGACAGACCTATAAACCACAGGCAAAAATGGAGAGGGTGGTGTCATGAGTGTATGTGGAAATGTCAGGACCTGGATTTGAATCCCAGCTTCACTCTTGCCTGTATGACCTTGAGCAAATCACTAAAACTTTCTAGGCCTTATTTCCTTCTCTATAAAATAAAGAAGGAGGCTCTCTAGGGCCCCTTCCAGCTCAAAACTCCCTGAAGTTGTAGGAAGAGGTGATTACCTTAACAGGAATACCCTGGGTACTCAGAGGTAGAGAGCTACAATTTTCTGGAAACCTCTTTCCCTGTTTGGAGAAACCCTAGCTCCCTCTGAAATGTCCCTTGGAGTTCTGTCATCTAGAGCCATGATAGAGTTTGAAGTTTCTGAAGTCAGGAACCAGGAACCAGGGGATGGCCACAGTCCTGAAGCTCTCACTTGCGTAGGGGCCAGAAGCACGAGGTTGGCCATGCAGAGCCAGGAGTCAGTAACCAGGGACACAGGGTGCCAAGCACTCCAGAGGCCAGAGATTTGGTGATTTTTCTGGAATCTTGGCCTTTCATGGACTGCTGGAGTAAATAAAGGCAGGCACCAGCTAATAAAGACACAAACCATCGGTGTACTTTATTTGAAATCAGAGAAAAGACAAGCAGGTATCAATTTAGAGCCATGAAGGTGAGGCTATCCCTAGGACACCAACTGTGGTTAGGGTATAAAATCATGTTCTCAGAATCTCAGCCTTGGAAAGGACCTCAGAGGCCAGCTGGGGCCTGGTCCCAGCCATATCTAACAAGAATCGTCTTCACACCATCCCCAACAAAGAGGCATTCAGTCTGTGCTCACAAACGTCCAGCACAAGGGAGCCCCCGTGTCCAGAAGGGCAGTTCATTCTACTTTTGGACAGCTCTACTGGTGGGGAAACTTTCCCTAAGGTGCAGATGAAATTTGCCTCTTGCCAGCTTCCATCCATTGCTCCTAAATCTGTTCTCTGGTATCAACTAGAACAAGTCTGAAACCTCCACCATGCAACAGTCCTTCACAGAGATCAAGGCAGTTATCATGCTCTGCCCAGGTTATGGCTTCCCTAGGCCAAACATCCCCAGATTTTTTTGACAAAACCCCTTACAGCATGCTCCCCACTCTCTTACCATCCTGGTGACCTTGGGCATATTATTCAACCTTCCTTGGTCTCCGTTTATCTGAAACATGGGGTATTCAACTAGATAGCTTTTGGGGGCGGGCAATTGGAGTTAAGTGACTTGCCCAGGGTCACACAGCCAATAAGTCTCAAATGTTTGGTCTGAGGCTGGATTTGAACTCAGGTCCTCCTGACTTCAGGGCTGGTGCTCTATCTACTGTGCCACCTAGCTGCCCCTAGATAGCTTTTGAGGCTTCTTCAGCTCTATATTGTGACTGCCTGTATCTCCCAATTTCTCCATATCTTTCTTAAAATGTGATATACAGAGTTGAGCTCAATACTACAGCTATGGCCTGACCACTGAGGACTGTGATGGTACTCTCCCATCCCTAATTCTGGGCACTCTATCTCTCTTACTGCAGTCTAAGATAGCATTGGTGTGTTTGTTGACAGTAGGAGGGGAGAGTGGAGGTGTTGATTGCATCATACCTTTGTCTCAGGTTGACCTTACAGTGTATGAAAGTTCCTATATCTTTTCCATAGGAAATGTTGTCTTGTCATGTATCACTCCCATCTTGTATTTATAAAGCTAATTAAAACAATAATTCAATATAGAATCCATGACTAAGTTTCAGCCCATTTGATTTGATCTTTTACTTTAACCTGCCAGTTTCTATTTGGATCTCAACTCTGCCCTCCATCTCATTGGCCATCCCCTTCAGTTTTGTGCCATCTAAAAATCTGACACCTACATCTCAATCCAAGTCACTGGTCAAAATATTGAGCACCACCAGGCTGAGAACAAATCTCTGGGTTACTCCATTAGCAATTTCTCCCACCATCACCCACTACCCAATTTATATCCAGGACCTTTAATCACTACTTCTTGGGTCAAGGCAATCCACCCTTTCTGAATCCATTCACCAGCACTCTCAAGCATACCTCATCTCTCCACCTGCGCCATAAATATAGCATGAGACAAATGTTTTGCTAAATTTAAGTATGTCTGATATATTCAGCTTTCCTTGATCTATTTCTTTAGTTTTCCAGTCAACAAAGGAAATATGGCCAGCATGGCATGATTTACTCTGGATGAAGACATGCTGGCTTTTAGTGATCACTACTTCCTTTTCCACATGCTGACAGATTGTCCTCTTAAAAATATTTCCTAGAATTTTGCCAGGAATAGAAGTCAAACTCACTTGCTTTTAGTTTATAGTTTCCACATTCTTCCCCTTTTAGAAAATTGAAACAACACTTGCCATTCTTCAGCCCTGTAATTTCTATCCTGGTCTTCGAGATTTTTCAAGGATCAAGGCCTATATCTGGTGCACACTGCTTAGATCGGGCTCTTTCACCCACAAGAGGAAGGGAAAAGTACAAATGGAGACAGCCAGAGTGACTGATGAACATGCCTGCATCCAGGCCCTGACCCCCAAGGAGTTCTACAAAGACTCACGTGCAGCCTTATCTGACCCACTTGAGATGGGCGAACTTGTAAGTAGCCCCAGCTCTCTTTGTCTGACTCCATGTAAACCCACACAGCCCCAATCTGTGGGCCATCTGGTGGTCAGACCACGCTTATCTGGATAAAACTGAGCTTCTGGGAAAATTCTTTTCTTCTGTTATGAACTCTATGAACTCTATAATAAAGTAGTCACTTGTCCCCGAGGTTTCTGTGTTTTATAGAGTAGTTGATAGTGTTGGACGGGGAGTGAGGAAGATCTGAATTCGAATCCTTAGTCACTTATTAGTGTGCAACACCATGATGCTTAGTGACTGTGTGACTCTGGGCAAGTCACTTCTCTCTCAGCCTCAGTTTCCTCATTTATGAAATGGAGAAAATAATAGCACCTCTATGAGAGGGTTGCTGTGAGGATTCAATGAAACAAAATGTAAAGTGCTTTAGAAACCATAAAGTGCTACCTAAATGGTGGTTATCTTTATCATCATTTTTTGTTATTTTTACTTGAGCATGAATTCCTCCAAGAAGAAGAAGAAAAAGAAATTAGAAGGAGGAGGAGGAAGAGCAGGAGGAAGAAGAAAGGAGGAGGAGTGGGACAGAGAGAGGGAAGGAGAGAGGGAGGGAAGAAGAGAGAGAGAAGGAAGAGGAGAGGCAGAGAGACTGAGAAAAGAGAGGTCCAGGAGATGTCTCAATAGTTGAAGTTCTCCATTACTAAAATATGATGTTCCATGCCTGGTTTGTGATCTGTTTCCCAAATTTCTCATTTAATTCCTCCTCTGTCCAGCTGGTCTGATTTGTGCCCCCACAACAATATTGCTTCAGTTTATGCTTCTTTAGTTTTTACTCAAATGAGTATATATTCTGAGTAGATAATAGTATTGTACCCTACCCTATTATGTTCCCTTTTGAATAAGGCCAGAGTCCATCCAGAGCCATGTTCTACTCATGAATCCCGTCTGGCCAAGTCTCAGCACTATGAGGTCAAAATTCCAGCTTATTACCCATAATTCGAGCATTTGTACGTAGATAACCAAAGCTATGGTTGTTGGCGGTTTTCTTTCTTTTTTAAAATTTATCTGCCATTGAAATAATGGGGGAAAAGGAGTCTAGAATGTCAGATCTCAAACTATGTTACAGAGGAGTAATCATCAAGATTATTTAGTGCTGGTTTAAAAAATAGATCAATTCATGGAACACATTAGGTAGGCAACATACAGAAGCAAACAAACATATATAGTGTTTGGTAAACTCAAAGACCCCAGATGGGGTGTGGGGAGGGGGGAGACTCATTATTTGGCAAAAACTGCTGGGAAAATTGGAAAGCAGTCTGGTAGAGCTGATGTGTAGACCAGCATCTCATATAATATGCCTAGATAAGCTGTAAATGGATAGATGATAACTTAGATACAAAAATTATATTAAAAACAAATTAGAGGAGCAAGGAAGAAATGACTTTTTTGATTTATGGATGAGGGATAAATAAGATAATGGAAGATAAAATTGGCAATTTTGCATGTTTAAAATTTTTTAAAGTTTTTGCACAAACAAAAGCAAAACAATCAAAATTAGGAGGGAAACAGGTAAATGCAGAGAAATGTTTGTAGCGAGGGTCTATGATCCAGGTCTCATATCTAAGGTATATAAAGAACTCATTTAAATTTATAAGACTAAAAGCCATTCCCTAATAGATAAATAGTCAAAGAATATGAACAGGCAGTTTTCAGAGGAAGAAGTCCATAACGTTAACAAACATTTTAAAATGTTACAAATCACTAATAGAGAAAAACAAATTAAAGTACCCATTAGATTGACAAAGATGACAAAAAAGGAAAATGGCAAATGTTTTTAAAAAAACAGGCACATTAATGCACTGTTAGTGGTGCTCTGAATTGGGTTGTCCACTTTGGAAAACAATTTAGAACTATACCCAACTATTTATTAAACAATGACAAAATTTTGACACAATATTGCCACTACTAGCTCTATATCCCAAGGAGTTCAAAGAAAGGGAGAAAAAAATTCATCCATACAAAATGATTTATAGTAGCTCTTTCTATAGCTAAAAATAACTGGAGATGAATGGAGTGCCTGTCAATTGGGAAATAGCTAAATAAATTATGGTATATGAATATAATCAAATCCTACTGTGCCATAAGAAATGAGGAAATGCATGGTTTCAAAGAAACCTGGGAAAACCTGTATGAACTGATGCAGAATGAAATGAGCAGAATAAGGCATACAATTTATTTAAAACAGTAATATTATAAAGAACAAATTAGAAAAATTTGAGAACTCCAACAAATGTAGTAACTAATAAAACTCTAGAGTCAATCAGTTAGTAAACAAGCATTCACCAAGCATTAAGTATGTTCCAGGCAATGTGTGAAGCATTAGGGACGCACACACACACACACACATGGAAAAGACAGTCCTTGCTCTCAAGGAGCTCACAGTTATAAATGTCTACAAGATACTGCTTGAAATGTCCAATAAGCAGATTGAAGCTCGGGAGAGAAGTTAGGGCTAGAAAAATAAATCTGAGAGCCATCTGTATAGATACAATAGTTGAAGCCATGGGAGTTGATAAGATCACCAAGTGAAATAGAATAGAGGGAGTAAAGAAAAGGGCCCAGGATGGTGCCTTAGAGTACACCCACAATTAAAAGTGATGACCTGGATCAAGATCCATTCAACAAAGGAGACTGAGAAGAACAGTCATATGGATAGGAAGGGTAGAGTATAGAGTTGAACTGGTTCACGAAGGACTCCAAATTGGATAGGTGAGAACATATAGCCAGTGCATATGGTGATGGCCTTGGGAAAGAACTGAAGGGTAGAGGGATTGGAGGTCACATGAGGAGAAAAAACAGGTTTTGGAATTTCAGTGTTCATAAATGTGGTGGTGGTGGTGGTGCATTTGTGAAGAGTATGACCATCTCTATATGTAGATGAGGTGGGGTAGAGGAGTAGGTCACAGGAAATTAGTAATTGAGGAACTGGAAGGTTGGGGTGTTTGAGGGAGTATCAATATGTATGTTGAAGTTCCCCAGTATGAGGGCAGAATTTGAAGAGGAGAGAAAGACTGAGAGCCAGGCACTGAACTCATTAAGGAAAGAGAGAGTTGTAGACCACAACCCCCCCGAGTGACAAATGGGGATTGCATGAACCCCAAAGGAATCGAGATTACTGAATTACTGAATGGGGAGCAAGAAGTGTTTCAAGTGCCCCACCTTGGTCAGTGAATGGGAGAAATGAGTGAAAGGTAGCCAGTGCTAGAAAGGGTGCCAGGGAAGTCCTGTCATCAAGAAGGAGCCAGGTTTCAGTGAGAACCAAAAGGTGGAAGGAGTAGGAAAGGAAAAGATTTAAAATGAAAACAAATTTATTATCTATGGAGCAGGCAGAAAGCACAATGGATGGGATAGGCAGCTTTTGAATGGCAGTTGGAGGGGCTGAGTTGAGGGGAGTGAGAATAAGGGAATGATCAGTGGTGGGTGAGCAAGAATGGGATTTGAACAATGGCACATGGGGGTTCTGAATCTCTTGGATTAGAAGGGAATGAAGGGGTGAGAGTATGTCAATCATTGAGGAATGAATCCAGATAGTTTATCGTTGTCCATGGGGGTTCAGCCTCAGGGTAGAGTTGTCTTAGGGCATCAGTTAGCAGTGTGTAGCTGGAAAGGGGGTGGAGATGGCCAGACGCACAGACAAGCTGATTGCTGTGGAGTTCAGGTGATTGGAGAGAGTGCCTGTGCCATGATCCAGTGGCCATCCTGGAACAGCAAGAGGCCCTCCTGGGCAGGCACAAATGGGCCAAATGACAAGGAGTCTGGTGACCAGAGACCACCTGGAATACCCTCAGACAAGATGACTGCTGCGTTTGCCCTCAGGTAGACCAATTAAGGAGGAATCTTGTGGCTGGGTTAGGCTCAGAGAACTCATGCCGAAGCCTGCTATCCACCTCTTGACATAGAGACGATGGACTTAATGTGCAGAATAAGATAAACCTTTTAGGACACAATTCCTAAAAGTGTGTGTGGGAGGACATTGCTGCTTGACTGTGCATATTTGTTCCTAGGGCTTTGTTTTTCTTTTTCCTCTGCTAGAGGGATGAGGGGTTAGGGATAAAGATAAAGCAGAAAAAAGGGGAGACATTAAGAAGTATTATTTTTTTAAAAGCTGCAAGCAGAAGGAAGGATAGGAAGAAGCAGAAACAGGATGGAGTTAAAAGCTACTGGTTGAATTTACTATATACTTAAAAGGAAAACTTATCTGTACATAGTAAAGATCTACAGTTTCAGGTACAAGTTTTTCTGCTCTACTGTGTCTGTGGAATTGCCCACGTTACTTAGTGTTTGTTAAATTTAGAAGATACAAAAAGACTGCCTCCTGTGAATCATTGGCCCTTTTTTTTCCTGTTAGTCTTTCTTTGATGTTATGCATACTACTCTCTGTGGTACCACACTTGCCAGGTATATGGGAAATAGTTTTCTCCCCTTCTTTTTCCAGTGTAAAGCCATGATATTGGATTCTCAAGATTCCATTTCAGTATTTTGTTTCTCTATCTCATGCTTAGCCAGGAGCTCATCTGCCCTATGTTTTGAACTGGGGCAGGGGTGAGGGGGAAGGGGGTGTCTAGAAGTCCAAATCTCCCTCTGACAAACACCTTCAATATTTTCCATTTGCCTTTCTCTTCTGAATTTTCTCCTTACAACCAGCAGCAGCCATAAAAGCATTCCCCCTATACTGTGGAGTCTTCAGGTTTTGCCCTGAAAAACAATACTTTGCAGTGTTTTCTGGCCCTTCTGGGAGCATCATGCATCAGCAGACATGGTTAGTGATCATCAGATATGGCAGTTCTCAGGCATCTCATCCTGGATACAAGCCCTGTGGAGACAGCAGACTTCTTTGTTGTTTGTACCAGGGTGGCAAATAGGCACCTTGGTACTCCTAGTGGGTGGCACCAGCTCATCTCTCTTCTTTCTCTGTCATTAGTGGGTGATTTCTCACCTAATCCACATCATCATTTCTTTGAACACAAGAAGCTACTTGTGCCAGAGAAGGTCCAGGTCTCCCCCTGTATACCTATTATGAGCACTGAATGTTCAGCCAGTCCTCCTTATTACTCTCTTCCTTATTCACATCATGTTCTTCTCCCCTACAACCTCTTGACCCAACTGAAAATTCCGCTCTGGTGCTTTGCA